AAATCCCTAAGTCCTAAATCCCTAAATCCTTAAATCCCTAAATCCCTAAGTCCTACGTGCCCCGGAGGCCCGGTGAGGCCCAGCTGCGAAGATCCGAGGCCTCTCGTTGATGCGCTCCCGCTCCTTCGGATCCCAAGCTTGGGTTTAGGGGTTTAGGGTTTAAGGTTCCGGTTTAGGGTTCACGGGTTTATGGGTTTAGGGGTTCAGGGTTTGGGGTTTGGGGGTTTAGTTTAGGGTTTGGGGTTTAGAGGATTTTGCCCTCTCGCGTGGCTGAGATCTATGCCCACAGCATGGCGGGTTTCTGAGTTTCGGGGTTTAGGAAGGGGTTTAGATTTACGGGTGACTCTTGAGGGTTTCTGGGCACTTGTTGAGGCGCTTAGTTCAAGTTACCGTTGTACTTATAAGGAGACCATATTGTTCACGGTGGTTCCCTACTCTGGTAAGTTACTTAGATTAAACTCCTTAACAAGAACTCAAGCTCCGTTCAGCTTCTGCAAGGGTTGAACAGGGGTTCTTTAAGGGTCTGGAGCTTGGGCTGCATGGGGTTGAGAGTTTGTCGGGCTTAAGGTTATTGGGCCTTCAACCTGGAGAGTTTCATATCAAGCAAGCTCAGTGCTGGTCTTGGGTTTCAAGCAAACGGCACCGTTCTTGAGATTGGGGGTTTCAGCATTGCGAAACTGCTTTGAGGTACATCCTGTTCGAACTTTACGGTGGCGCCTTGGATATGTGAGCACTCAGCCGATCTGACGGGGAGGAGTTCTAAACCTTCGCTGCCAAATCCCTATAGACCTACTCTCGAAACCCTGCAGCAATTTGAAGCTGAAGCCTCCAACCAAAGCGGAACCCTCGCTGCGAAACTCCCCCTCAACACTACGGGAAATGGGCTCGGCTGTGCAGTTTCTCAGCGTCGTTCTTAAGCGCTAACGATCTAGGAATCTAGGATAGCGCAGTTCGAGGCCAAAGTCCAGTCCTTTACAATCCCGGTGACGCGTGTGCTAGGTGACGATTACGGAAGGCATCATCGGGCCGAAAGTTGAGCTACAGGGCCTAGTATCTAGCATGAACACTGGGCACAGACTCTTGCGAGTAGCAGAGTGTATCAAAAAGTCACGAATCTCCTAGGCCGGCTAGCGGAGTAATTGCTACATCGGTTTACAAGCATGATATGTGTTAATTTCGGAGGAAGCCCAAAGCTCACTGGTCAAGTGTGTCAGGAGTCTATGGGGAAAAGGGTGGGGGCATGGGTAGATTACGTTGCTGAAGCGGACCCTGCACGGTAAGGTTTGGCGTTGCAGGGAGCAGGCCCCTCGGTTAAGAATTTAGGCTAGGGTTTAGGGTTTGGACTCTCAAATAGGTGCTGTCGTGTTAAGGTGGACGGTTTAGGGTTTAGGGTCTCCCCTAAGATCTGAACCCCAAACGTTTGAAGCCGTCGAGCTCGTCACCCAGGAGGTGTATCGGGCTTGCCATCGTTATGTTTCACGAGTTCATGATGTAGTACCGACATGCCGAACAGCTGGGATTTTGAGTTCCCAGGTTCATGTTTCGTGACGCTGGAAACTAGGTTGAACACGCAGCGTGCACTGTTTCAACTGTAGGGCTGCCCAATGCTCCCGGTAGTGTGAGGGGTGTGTCGCCAATGGCTCAAGGCTTTTGAGTGGGGCACGAGACATATCTCCTCTGGGCAAGGCATGTAACTTGTGTAACCTGCGCCAAGCTAGGGATAACCTGCACCGGACGATGGACTATTCAACTAATCCTTTTGCAACTGGCCTGCTACAAGCCCAAACTCCTAACCCTCCTGCATTTGGTCTTGCCCTACGTTTCCCCAACCCAGCAAGCTAATTGAAGCGCTTTCCACCATCCCTTAACCCAACACCCTAAACATCATGAATTACGAACCTAAGCACTGGGGCCTGCTTGACAGCCGCAGCATAAAATGCGAGGTTCCTGATGAGAGGTGTGGGTATCGTTCCGGGGATAAGGCACTCTCGCAACTCGGATTCTTCCGGCGTTGGTTTCGGAGTGTAGAATTTAGGATACAGAGACATTCCAGGCATCCTTCAATGGCAACACGAGTGCTGAACAGCACTGTCGCTACAGGCAGTGCTGCCCATGTCCGTCAAGCCCAATGGCTAGAATCATCCTCGTCGTCCGTCCCAGTCGTTGTCGTCTACTCCTAGAAATGCCTGGCCCCAAAAGAACCTTTTCTGCTCTCCCTGGGGCAATGAACCTTTTGACCCCAGACTCTGCCGATCAAATGGGACCTGGTCAAGACACCCCGGTCTTATATCCCCTGAATGTTGGGATTCAAACAAAGAACCCACTAAAGAGGCAAGGTTTCTTAATCAGGCTCCAATCTTAGATCCCTCATCGTACCCTATAGATTCTATAGACCCTTACTGGGCCCTTAAATAAGCAAGCAAGCACTGCGCTCAACCAAGCGAGGAGACAGAGATCCGAGGGCAGCCTGCGCCCTCAGAACCCCAGTGCTTACGTGTGCCGAACCTGTCAATTTGGAAATTTAGGTGTTTCGGGTTTAGGAAGTGTAGGCGTTTAGGGTTTAGGAAGCTTGGGCTTTGGCGTCGGGGAGAAAACCATCGCCCGAGTTCAGCCGCGCTGCTCTGCGAAGCCCTGCACACGAGAGCGGCCAATGCTCTTGATGCCAGGGAGCGAGCCTCTCTCCTGGTCCAGTCAGGGTTTAGGCTCTCACAACTCGGCCAGTTAGGGTATAGGGTCCTGGTAACACAGGGAATCCATTTTTCCCAAAATCCTAGTTCAGGGAGGAAGTGGCAGAAGCTTTGGGGCTCAGTGGCTCCATGGTTCCTGGGTGGGGGCTTCGGGGTGTAGCTCTCGAGTCCTGGAGATCGCGCACATATTCGTAGCACGTCCTGCGGCGAAGACTGCACAGGCCATGACTTCCAGAAGAAAGCTAACCAACATCTGCTGGCAGGACTACATGTAAGAGATAATCATAACATGTACAAGATACATTATTTACTATAGCTTTTTTGCCCCTACATCCACCTCTCAGACTGATGTACACAAGACATGAAAGCAAGCCCGACGCAGTCAAGACATCCGAGGGAGGACTCCAGGGGCCGTTACTGTCTTAAGTGCCGCTTCGAGGCACAGTTCTGGTGAAGTTGGTGATATTTGTGCTGCTTACAATGCATCTGCGGCGGGTTTCTGGGAAGAGCGGTTCCTACAAGAGGTGGCATCGACGAAGTTCACGATGGCGAGCCCCGCATGTGAGTCTCCGCCGCCAGGCATGTGGACAAAGTCGTACCTCCCCAGGTGAACATTCTTAAAACGCGGTTTTTGCAACTGGGCTCGTGGACTGGCCAGATCCGTTTAGAACCCTAAACAAGACACTCCGGAAGAGCTGCTGAATAGCAGAAGGGTAGCGCTCCAGTTGAGGGTACCTTTCAGAGTCCTCTGTATAAGGGTGTCGTACTACTTGGGGGACCGAAACAGGGACCCCAATTAGGAGAACTGCCCTTTTTCAACCCAAACTGTCAGGCTGCAAGGCGTCCTTGATACTCAGGAGTGATGGTAACCAAAAATCATAAGAATACGAATCATATTCACAATAGTACTAGCCGCAATTATCATAGTAATTTCAGTGGTCAAAAGGGTAAGAATAAAAAATCAAAACAACAAAAATAATAACAAGAAGACTCATGATAACGACAATCATTTCTAACAGTAACAATAGTAATACTGGCCCCTTCTGCAATAACAGCAATGACCTTAGCTTAGGGGCTCACCGGCAGTCGAGGGATCGGGAGAACTTGTCAAAATTGCAGCTTTGTTCTGGTAGGTTATAGTATATTGAAGTATATTATACTGTGCTTTGGTATGGTAAAGTATAGTATAGCATAGCATAACATTAGTATAGTATCGTATAGCATAATATGGAATAGTGTAGTATAGTAGGGCAGGCATAAGAAAGGGTGGCGAGTGGCCGAAAGCATAAGAGGAGTTCAAGCGGGCCTTTGGGCTCTGAAAGCTCCGCTTAAGAGTCTGTGGTGCATGGAGTCACAGAGAGGGTCCAGGGTCAATCTTGTGAAGCTCATGCTTTCGACCAAAGGGAGGCCGACACTCTCAAGATCTCTCAAGGGCAACCGGTAAGCTGGCATAGACTGTGCTATAATTCACAGCAGACATGACGTAGTTTAGAAGCAAGAACACGAACGATAACAAATGGAAACATACACTGTGCTCAATACAAAAAGATAATCATTGTGGGCATGGCTGGTGCCACCTCTGCGGTGCAAAACTAGTCCTAGCACTACCGGTCAATCTCCAAAGTACATACCTGTCGGACTCGCAGGCTTCCCCGGCAGCCCTACCATCGAATCCCATTCAAACGTAGACTCGCGAACCCGGAAGGCAGGCCTACAATCCCCGATAACCCAGCTCTGCAGAGAGGGGCACAAAGGGTTCGTTTTGCACCCATAGGCAACATGGAGTGACATTCGATAACCACAACTGGCAAACGAGAACCACGACAGGGACAGCAAGCAGCATGACAGCGACAACAGCACGAACAGTCATGATAATGGGCGCATCGGTGCTGATAACAAGAAAAGCTGCAAATAGTAACGGTAGCAACAAGAATGACAATGACTGCTGACCGTAGACGAATTGTGCCTAAATCCAAGGCTGCCAAACTTTTTCGGAACCCGAGGAAACCTGATTAAAACCCCTGTAGAATGCAGATAGAAATCTGTGTAGAAACCTCACAGAAAGCTTTACAGAACCCCCTTCGAAGCTTCCTATAGAAACCCCCCAGTAACCCGGTATCGAAAGCCTAAAAAGCCCCCCTTGGGGGCCCCCCTTTTTCTCTTCCCTTCCCAGCCTTCTAGGCTCCGACTTCCCGGTCGCGGCATCCAAGAGCTCCAAGATCCCCTCGATGCTGTACCGCTTGGCGATGCCCCGCCTCGGAGCCGCGAAAAGTGGCTTTCCCTTTTTCTGCATGGCTAGGGGAAAAACGCCCATAGAAGCGAGGTTTAGGTTTGGGGTTTAGGGCTTGGGGTTTAGGGCTTTGGTTTTAAGGCTTGCCGTTTACCGCTTGGCGAGGCCCCACCTCGGACGCGAGAGCTGCCAGGGTTTACGTAGGCTTGAGGACTTCGGGTGCAGGATTTGGGGTTTAGCGCCAAAGTGACAAAGTGGTGGATCACTCTCTATGTGGGGGGGAGGGAAGCATTCGGTGCGGAACTCTTGCACAGCTAGAGGTTCTGTCACGTCTTTAGGTGTTTCGACTCGAGAGACCCATGCAAGGCATGCTGAGATTCATGCATGATGCTGAGGCATACTGCGCTTTGCAGCTTCATTCCCCTCTTGCATCAGGACTTGTGCAATCGCCTGAAGGTCTGAGCATACGGAGGTTCAGCTCTCATGACTGCATTTCCATAGCTTGCTCGAGAAACTTGCGGGGACCACCTCGAACACCCCCCACACACAGCGCGCGATCCATAGCCAGCTGTGAGTATCGCACTTCCCGAGAAAAGACACCAGCAGCTGGTAACAAAGATGCCTTCCCAACATAGCCATATGACCCAGAAAAGACTCCAGAGACTCCCTCTCTCAGCTCAAACCCAAGATCATACTGCAGAATGCCATCTTCAGCATCCAAGAAAAACGCCCTCTAACTGCTGACACCCAGTCCTTCAAAGGTAGGCAGCCAGGGCACAAGGCCATTGTCGTGGTGTGCTCGTCGAGCTCTCGGGATGCCATTTTTTGAAAGGTCCCGGTGACCAGAGATTAGAGGGCTTCGGGTGGCAAGCCTCACTGGAAGGGTTTTCGACTAAATGGTGCTATACTTTACTAAGCTATACTACTAAACTATACTAAACTATACTAAACTATAGCTATACTATACTAAACTATATACTATACAGGGGCTTCAAGGAGTTTCGGAGTCTCGCCCGGGCCTCCCTTAGTCGACACGCCCCAAAGCTGCACCCGAACCCAGAGCCAAAATGGCTGAAGTCCGGGAAAAACACCCTCAAAGCGCGTTGCTAAGGCCGGAAAACCCTAAGCCCAGAAACCCTCAAAGCCTAAACACCCACAAACCCAGAAAAGCCCGACAAGCCCAAGAAGCCCCCCAAAGATAAGCCCTCCTCCTCTCCAAATGCCCCACGATAGAAGCCGATAGAAGCCGAAGTACACGGAGGGATAGTGCTGAGGAATCCCGGCATTGACCCTTAACACCTGGGCTTCTTCCCAAGGGCTTCAAGGGTTTTACAAGTTTTGGGTTTTTGGAAAAGGCGATGTGCATGAAAACCCAGGCCCCGAAACTCGCAGCTCTGCAGAGTTTTTGCTCCCTGGGCTGCATCCAAAGAGGCGCAGTTGTCCAACGTAGACATCCCTTGCATCCAGAGATACCGGCTGCCAACCGCAAGTGGATTGTTGCAGGGTTCCCATAAACCATCCTAAACCAAGGCTGGCCGAGAAGGGACGCCCAGTTGGACACCCAGCTGAAAGCTGGGTCGGTAACACTAAGCGCTTAGGGCTTACCCAGGAACCTCAAACCCTCTTCCTTTGCAGGCATTTGCTCAAGGCTTCTTTCTGGAAACGACACAATCAATATATATATATATATACAATCACACATACCTGTACACATACATATGTGTGTATGTATATCGATATATGTGTATGAGTGTATATATGTATATATCTACAGATGAATATGTATATATATATATACATTTAGGTGTATGTGTATTTATAAAAATACATGTGTATATGAATATATATATATGTGGAAACGTAAACATGCATGTGCACATGTAAACGGTTCCATGCACATATGTATGTATGTATGTATGTATGTATGTATGTATGTATATACATATATATATATGCATATGTATATGTATGCACATATGCCAAAGCACGTGAAACACTTATGTATAAGTAGATGAATACGTATAGTTTTGTATACGTGTACACGTATATGTATACGTATATGTACGGGAGTGCAAGTACACACATACATGCAAATATAAATAAACGTATGTATGTATGTATGTATGTATGTATGTATAAATGCGTGCGCGCGTGTGTGTGTGTGTGCGTAAGCATGCATGCATGGATGGAAGAATGGATGGATAGATGGATGGATGGATGTGTGTGTGAGCGCGCACATGCATAAGTATATGTACATATAACTGCATGTATGTATATCTGCACATACATGTAATGTATGTATATATGTATATATCAGACGGCGTCAAAACCATTTGTTTCTGCAAGCTTCGTGCTTAGAATGAGGCGCCCCTATCGTTTTACAGTGTTTGCGACTTGAAGCATACTGGAACAAACGACACACTGGGTCAGAGTAGGGAGATACGGTATTGAACATGCAGCATTCCAGGGTGTGGCCTTGGGTTGCGATCACTGAGGCTTTTTCAAGTTCTCGGGGCTTCTGGGTTTGGAGCTTCGTCTGCTCTGCATTTCGAAAGGGCGCAGCCTCGCGCAATCATGAGGAACTGGTTTCTGAGAGCATGCGAGGCTTTGGGTGGTGCGGAGAGTTGGCTTAGGCCCTGGGGTTTAAGCTACAGATGTCGAGAGTTTCAAGATGTTTGAACTGTTTGGAGTCTTCAGTTTTGGGGCTTTCAGGCTTCTGGAAAATACATGAACCGTAATCTCGGCCACTTGGGGCTCCATTTTGGGTATCGTTGGGTATCGTTCTGTCCAATTTAGGGACGTCGTCTCATTTCCAAAATTTCTATCCCGACAACCTCGACACCTTTACTAAAATCTAAATCCCCCCCCCATCCTCTCTTGAAAGAAACCAGGAGCCAAGGGTTACAATGGCAACATTGCCGCGTTCAGGGCATCGTCTCCAAGGCGCCCCCTACCGTTTTACAAGTCACCGCTAGCATTTGCCATCTTCGACAACCGCCTGCTTTAAGATCCATATACGACAAGGTTGACCCCATCTCACACATATACACATATATATATATATGTATATATATGTATGCATGCGAATATGTACAACTACAATCAGTGAATCAGTGTATATACTTATTCTTTGGCTCGCATATATCGATAGATAGGTAGATAGATAGATGGATAGACAGATAGGTAGAGATACATAAACAGATAGAGAGAAAGAAAGAGAGAAAGAAAGAAAGAGAGAAAGATAGAAAGATAGAAAGAAAGATAGATAGATAGAGAGGTAGATA